TTACTCAATCTCTCCTCATACGTCAGACCCACCATCCCCGGAATCAGCCTGGTAAACCTGCGCTGCACTCCCTTGGGAGCAAGAGCATCCTTCCTCAGAAAAGGAGATCAAAACTGCACACAATATTCCAGGTGTGGTCTCACCAAGGCCCTGTGTAACTGAAACAACACATCCCAGCTCCTGTACTCAAAACCTCTCACAATGAAGGCCAACATACCATTTGCCTTCTTTACCACCTGCTGAACCTGGATGCTTACCTTCAGTGACTGGTGCACAAAGATGCCCAGGTCCCCCTGCACACTACCCCGTTCCCCCCCCCCCCCCCCCCATTTTCAGCCCTTCAGGTAGGAATCTGCTGTCTTGTTTTTGCTTCTGAAGTGAATAACCTCACATTTATCCAAATTATACTGCATCTGCCATTGATTTTCCCCAATCACCCAACCTGTCCAGATCATGCTGAAGGATCTCTGCATCCTCGTCACAGTTCACGCTCCCAGCCAACTTGGTATCATCGGCAAACTTGGAGATATTACGTTTTGTTCCCTCATCCAAATCATTAATATATATTGTGAATAGCTGGGGTCCCAGCACTGATCCCTGTGGCACCCCACTAGTTACTGCCTGCCAATTTGAAAAGGACCCATTAATTCCTACTATTTGTTTCCTCTCTGCCAACCAGTTTTCTATCCATCTCAATATGCCTTCCCCAATCCCATGCACTTTAATTTTGCACATTAATCTCTTACGTGGGACTTTGTCAAATGCTTTCTGAAAGTCCAAATATACTACGTTGACTGGTTCTCCCATTTCAACTTTACTAATTACATCTTCATAGAATTCTAACAGATTTTTCAAACATGATTTCCCCTTCATAAATCCATGCTAACTCCATCTGATCCTGCCACTGCTTTCTAAATGCTCTGCTTTAAAAACCCTTCACAATGGATTCGAGAATTTTCCCCACTACCAATGTTAGCCGGCCTATAATTCCCTGTTTTCTCCCTGCCTCCCTTCTTGAATATTGCAGTGATATTAGCCACCCTCCAATCCGCAGGGACTGTTCCAGAGTCTGTAGAATCCAGAAGATGACCACCAATGCATCCAGCATTTCTAGAGCTACTTCCTAAAGTGCTCTGGGATGTAGATCATCAGGACCTGGGGATCTTTACACCAGCCTGAAAACTAGCTATTGACCATTACTGTCTGTTTCCTATCACTCAGCCATTTTTGTATACATGTTGCCTCTGTTCCTTTTGTACCATGACCTACAGTTTTCTTCATGAATCTATTGGGAGACACTATATTAAATACCTTCTGGAAATCTTTGTATGCCATGTCATAAGTGTTACCCTCAACAACCCCCTCTGCTGAAATTAAACTTCATTTTCCCTTCAGAAATGTATGCTGACTCTTCCATGAAACCACTAAATCTACCCTGAACAATTGTTTTCAGAGCTTTCCCCAGTACCAAAGTTAAACCAACTGATCTGTAGTTACCAGGATCAGCCGTGCCACCTTTTTTTTTGAGCAAGGTTGTAATGTTGGAAATTCTCCAGTCATCTGGCACCTCACTCGAGTCCAGGGCAGACTGAAATATAATGAACGAGGTATCTGTACACAGGAGGAGAGAAATGGAAGGCCACATGACTGGGTAGCAGGAAGAGGAGGAGACCATAGGAGGGCACAGACTTAAATGAGAAAATGATCATTGCAGGCCAAGAAAGGTAATCAAACTTGGGTTGCACAGGATTGGAAAGTATTTGGAAAAGATGTATTCCTTGTAAAAAAGCAATCTTACCTTGAAGTGCTTTTTCTCCGATGGATCAGTATTGTAATCAGAGTATATTCTGACCCTTGCTGTTGTAACTGTTGCCTCCTTTATTGTTTGACGTATGTCCAATTCACTCTGGAATATATTCAATGACTCAGCCTCCACTGTTTTCTGCGGAAGAGAATTCTAAAGATTAATAATGCTTTTACCTTAGTAACTCCTCCTGATCTCCACCTCGACGGTGCGACCCTTTAATTTTAAATGATGATCCCCCTCCACTAAAAGAAACAATCTCTCGCTATCTACCCTCCTCAGGATGCTTTCTGTTTCAAAAAGATTACCTCTCATTCTTTTAAACCTCCCAACCTGCTCAAGCTTTCCTCAGAAAACAACTCATTCATTACAGTTACCAGCTGAGTGAACCTTTGCTGGAAATTCTTTCAATGCAATTATATCCTGACTTCATTCAGGAGACCGAAACTCTTCGCAGTACTCTGGGTTTGGTCTCACCGATGCCTTTCACAGTAACAGCAGAAACCCCTTATTTCACATGCTTCTTGCAAGAAAGGCTAACATTCAGTTTACCTTCCTAATTCCAGGCTGTATCTGCTTGGTCAGACTTCTGTTCCTCATATGCAAAGTCATCCAGATCCCTTTGTACCACAGCACGCAGCAGTCTGTCTGTATTTAAATATTATTCTGCTTTTTTTTAATTCTTCATGACAATGTGGAGAACTCCACATCTTCCCACATTATGCTTGTTCTGCCAACTGTTTGCCAACTCACTTACCATCTGTGTCACCTTTTTGCAGGCTCTTTGTACCCCCTCATATTCTATGTATCTTTGATATATCAGCAAATTCGCCTTCAATGCACTCGATCCCTTTATCCAAGCTATTAATAAGGACTAAATAGTTGAGGCACAAGCATTGATCCTGGTGACACTCCATTAGTTTCAATTTGTCAGTCTGAAAATAAGCAATTTACCTTGACCTCTCTATCCGTACTGATATTTCACCTCCAACATTCTTATTTTGTGCAGTCAGCTCCTCTGTGGCATGCTATCAAACAGTGTTTGGAAATTCGTATACACTATATATGGGTCTCCCTTTATCCACTCTGCTTTTTCTGTCCTCCAAGAATTCCAATAAACCGGCCAAACACTATGTCCCTTTCACAAAATTATCTTGCCTCTGCCTGATCGTATTATGATTTTCAAAATATCCCCCTCCTTCCTTTAGTAGTGAATTCTGTCATTGGAAAATGTGAGATGTTAGACAACTAGCCAGTTGTTTCTGTCCCCTTTCTTAAATAGGGGTGTTACATTTGTAATTCTCAGACCCTCTGGGACCTTTTCGGAATCTTTTGGAATTTTGAAAGATTACAATCTGTGTGGAGACTCATCTGAAAATCCTTCGGTGCAGGCCGCTAGGCCCAGGGAGCTTGTCAGCCTTTAGGACCATTAATTTTCCTAACAATTTTTTTCTCTGTGATCATTTCACTTTGTTGACTATCATAATCTTGTGCACCTCTATCAAATCTCCCCTCAATCTTCATCGCTTCGAGGAGAGCAATCCTATTTTTCCAAACTAACTGTGTAAATAATATGTTCCGTCCCTGGAACCATTCTGGAAAATCTCCAGTGGCCCCTTTTAAGAACCTGCACATTCTTCCTAAAGTGTGGTGACCAGAGCTGGGCCCACTATTTAAGTTGGGGCTTTGTAGAGGTCAACGTAACTTCCTTTCCTTTGTAATTTGAACTTTTATTTGAAAGCACACGCAAAAGGGCATTTTATTGCCATGGCTTCAGTTTCTGTTCCCTCATTTTTTCCCTGAGAGCTGTTTGATTTTTGACTTAACATCATTTTAGTTCTCCTGGATATTATTGTGTGTTTTTTCTTCAATTTATGGGATGTGTGTCACTGACAGGGCTAGGCAGTAAATATTGCTCCAAATTGCTCTCTGCAAGGTAGTGGTGAGCTGTCTTTTTTATGTATACGCAATTTGAGTAATTTTCTATAAATGATCAGGGTTGATGTACTACTTTGTGCAACATCTCATTTCAATAACACATTGTGTGCGTGCATTTTTTTGGTACAAAATGTAGAAATTGAACAAATCAAGACTTATTTGGAAATGTCCTTGTAATGTGGAGTTGGACACATTTGCCATTGCATGGTTATGACACTAGGGGAGGCGATGGCCTTGTGGTATTATCACTGGACTGTTAATCCAAACTGTTAATTCAACTGTTAATTCGAACCCAGGTTCCCAGAATATTATCTGGGTCTCTACCCAGATAATATTCTGGGAACCTGGGTTTGAATCCTGCCATGGCAGATGGTGGAATTTGAATTCAATAAATATCTGGAATTTAGAGTCAGTTGATATCCATTGTCAATTGTCGGGAAAAACCCATCTGGTTCACTAATGTCCTTTAGGGAAGGAAACTACCATTTTTCCCTGGTCTGGCCTCTCTATGACTCCAGACCCACAGCAATGTGGTTGACTGTTAACAGTGACCCCCTCATCCCGTGAATGAATAAAGAAGAAAAAACTCGCAAGACCACTAGTCAATTACAGATGTGAAAGGTGATTCAATCCCTCTTATATACAATATCCAGAAAGACTGCACAAACTTCCTCGTTTCACAGTGGGACGCAGCATTGCAGGAAGCCCCTCTTACCCGTGCCAGCTCTTTGGAGCTAATTATGTCGCTTTACCAAACTCGTGTTCTGTCCCACGCCCTGTAATTTTTTTTTTCTTCGCTTTGAGTATTTATTGAGCTCTCTGTCTCTGGAATATCATTCTTGAACCTGCTTCTGCCACTCTTTCACAGAATATTCTAAATTAAAACAACACATTACACAAAGAATCATAGAATAGAATCATACAGAACAGAAGGGTTCCTTCAGCCCATCGAATCTGTACCGCCAAAAATATACAACTACGTACACCAGTCCCACTTGCCTACATTAGGCTCGTAACCTGTTTACTTCATGTTGCCCCCAGTTCTTTGACAATTTCCTTAAATCCTTGTGTTCTGGCTTCAGACCTCTGCACCTTGCGAAACGGCTCCTCCCCATTTATCCATCAAAACCATCTTTAATTTCAAACTCATCTGTCAAACCTCCCTTTTGCCTTTGTTGATCTAACAAGAACATCAGTGTCTACACTCATTCCGTGCCACTGAAATCTTTTGGCTTTGGTTTCATTCAAGTAAATCTCTTTTTCTCACTCTCTGTAAGGCTTTCACTTCTTCTTCCCTACAGTATACCAGAATTGAACACAATATTTCAGCTGACACCAAACCAGTGTCATATTAAGGTTAGGTGTAACATTCCTGCAGTTCTATTACATTCCTCTGTTCCTATCAATAAGAATTGCATACATTTCTGTTAAAATTATGCTATTAATTGTTACATTGTTATAACACAGAGACAGACAGCTGAACTAAATCAGCTTTCTGACCTCTATATTTACAGCATAGTAAAATTAAAACCTCCAAAGACCCTCAAAGTTGATCCCAGTGCTTCCTAAGCAGACTAATTTTTTTTGAATAACCAATCCCAGACTCTGCAATAGTGTAATGAATCACACAGAAGACAGAAAGACAAACAAACACTGTTCAGAGATGTTTTAAGGAAAATAACAAAACTGTCCAGATGACGTGTGTGGTTTTCACAACGTATTGTTCCACAGGCATATATAATTTTCAAAACCTGGAAGAACAGAGGATGCTGTAAATCGGAAACAAAAGTAGAAATTGCTGGAAAAGCGCAGTTGGTCTGGCAGCATCTGGAGAGAAATTGGACTTAACGTTTCGGGCCCAGTGACCCTTCCTCAGAACTGATGGTAGCTGGGAAATGTTGGCTTATATACAGAAGACAGAGTGTGGTGTGGGAAAGGCAGTAAGGAGTAAACGATAGTGGGGTATAGAGCCAAAGGAGAGAGAAGAGCAGTTGGACAGACAAAGGAGTAGATAATAATCTGGCAAGAAGGCTGAAAAGCTGTTAATGGAGACTGTTAGTGGTGTAACAGTAGGTACTGTGTAATGGCAGAGTATGTGACAATAAGGCCTGGTGTTGGGGTAGGGGGCTAGGACATGGCAGAGTTCAAGCTCTAAAATTATCGAACTGGATATTGAGTCCAGAGGGCTGCAGGGTCCCCATACAGAAATGAGATGTTGTTCTTCCAGCTCGCACTGAGCTCCGCTGAAACAATACAGCAAGCCTGAGATTAGAGGTGTTGGGCAGGCAACAGGGTGCTGCTTTAAAGTGGCAGACAACTGGTAGCTCAGGGTTTTTTTAGCGAGCAGAAGTTAAATGTTCTGCAAAGCGGTCACCCACTCTAAGCTTTGTTTCTCCAATGTAGAGGAGACCACATTGTGAGCAGCGAATACAGTAGCCTAGATCGTGGGAAGTGCAGGTGAAGTGCTGCTTCACCTGGAAGGAATGTTTGAGCCCTTGGATACTGGGGAGAGAGGAGGTAAATAGGCAGGTGTTGCACCTTTGGTTGCAGGGGAAGGTACCCAGGGGCTATGGGGGGTTGTTGGGAGTGAAGGAAGAGTGGACCAGGGTGTCCCTTTGGAAGGCTTACAAGGGGAGGGGAATATGTGTCTGGTGATAGCATCTTGCTGGAGGTGGTGGAAATGGCATCTGATGATCTTCAGGATGTGGATGCTGGTGGATGGTAGGTAAGGACAAGGGGAACCCTCTCGCTGTGGGAAGGAAGAGGAGGGGTGAGGGCGGAAGTGCGGGAGATGGGTCGGACCTGGTTGAGGGCCCTGACGCTAACAGTGTTGGGGAATCCTCAGTTGAGGAAGAAGGTGGGCATTTTAGAGGCTCCCTTTCGAAGTTGGCCTCTTTCAAACATATGTGGCAGAGACAGAGGAACTGGGAGAATGGGATGGAGTCTTTACAGGAAACAGGGTGCGAGGATGTATAGTCCAGGGAGCTGTGGGAATCGGTAGGTTTATCATGGATATTAGTGGCCAGTCTATCCCCAGAAATGGAAAAAGAGATATTGAGGAATGGAAGGGAGGAGTCAGAGAGAGGGCAGGGTGGAAATTAGAAGCGAAATCGATGAATTTTTCCAATTCTGGATGAGAGCGGGAAGCAGTACTGAAGATATCATCGATATATTGGAGAAAGAGTTGTGGGTGGGGGCCGGAACAGGACTGGAGCAAGGAATGTTCCACGTACCCCACGAAGAAACAGGCATAACTGGAGCATGGATAATTTTTCTTGATTGGTTTTTTGAAGATGTTGATTCACACCACTTTCTCAGTGCACTCAGAGGAGGCCAGTGATACTTACAACTTAGTTTCTGTTCTCTGAACTGATAGTAGCTGATAATAGGAAGTTAGGCAGGGAGCTTTCAAATCTTCATGCTGTAGCATACCTAGCCAAACTCTATCTCCTAATAAACAGTCCAAATTCTTGGTGTTTCCTGTCAGTCTGACAATCTCCCCATGAGGTCCCAGTTGTTGACCTTGTGACCATACATCTGCCATCTGTTCAAACAAACTGTTCTTCACCAGTGTCAAAGAGTCGATGGAATTCTTTTGATTAATAATCAACCTGCAACTAATTTGCACCCCCAGTCTCAAATAAACAACTGTTTGTTCTCTTTTCATTTTAAAAAAAACACAAGCTACTGCCCACTAATGAAAAGTCACTTTCAGCTCCTAGTTCTCAGTTCACAGATCCAAACCAAAATTGATAAAAAGAATAAAATGGAAATAATGAAAAATCAGCGAGGGTTCCAATAATATTCTCAATAATATACATTAAAGTGTATCAAGTTCACATTTATTTGCATTAAATTTAATATCTTTTGCATTTGACCAGTCTATCTATAACCTCCTGAATCACTATTTCCATAGTCATTGCTGAATTAATGATTTTGTGTGACCTGCAGATTTTGAAATTATGTCTATTAATAATTATATCTCGGGACTAAACTCTCATGTTAGTCTTATCTCCAGTATTTTTTATGGAACTTCAGTCCACTCCTTGTGAAGACAGCTTTCACTGATATGGATAAGACTATAGCTAATTGATAGTTTTAACCCAGATATCTTTATTTCAGTTTTGCAAATTATTTGTTTGTAATCGCCCAGATTACATTTCTGTTCCCTTAACATTCTTCCATTAATATCTAACAAATATTACCTTCTTCCTCTTTCTCAGTTTAGACTTTTCAGTCTCCTCACAACTTCAGTCCCATGAGTTTAAAGATTAGCCCTTGCAACTCATCGTTAAAATAAGATGCACTTACGTTGCAAATTGATGGAAGGAGCTTCTTGTTTCCCAAACATTTAAGCAGTATGAATGCTTGTTCTCAGAAGCAAGTTTATTTCTAATCCTGTTGTACCTAATTGTCTTGTGTTGTGGTTTTTGGTCTTCCTGTTGGCTGCAGTGTTCACCAGTCAAAGCAAGTTGTAATGGCTTTGCAAAGCTTGGTTTTGCAATTTGCTAGTCCAATTGCCTTGATTAAATCACATTACATACATTGTCAATATGCAGTCTGTAAAACTGATCATTATTCTGTTGCCAGGTACTAATTTTTCACTACACATTTCTCCAGACATTTTACAATACCTGTGTTCAGTGGGAGTTGAATGCATCACACTGTTGGCACACCAGCCACTGCATTTCTGTTGAATGGTGTTCTCTGTGTTCTGCAGTCTACCCAATTAGCTACTTAACAGTGGTCAGATCAGTGAGCAGCATACAGGAAATATGAATCTTTTATAGAAGTGGAAGTTGCCTTGTAGGAAACTGTAATTCCTCAGAAGTTTACTTCCGTTATAGTCATAGTTTCAAAAGCCCTTTCATTTGCTGGTGTCTATCAATTTTGATTTTAGGCATCTTATAAAACCTTCACTGCCTTCCTTATGTCCAGTCAGCCTCCATATTGTAAACTTGCAAACTTCTTAATATTGGAGTTGTACAGGAGCTGAGTCAGAGCAGCAGCAAACCGCAGCAGGAGTCCTGTCAGAATTCCAAAGAGCTGATGTGAGTAACATCAGCGCAAAAATGAAAAGTGACGAGTAGGCAGTGGTCACCCTCCTATTCTAATCACATGTTTTTAACATAGTATGTACTTTGGTGATAAAGTTAGTATATCTCCTAAAAGGCAACATGATTAAGTGAATAATGTAACTACCAAAATAATTAACTCATTAAGAATGGCATTACAGGTGGTGTGTCCAAGCTGCAGTATGTGGGAGTTCTAGGCTACCATTGTGATCCAGGGCAAACGTATCTGTGGTAAGTGTTTGAAGTTCAAGCAGCTTTCAACCAGAGTTTGAGCTAGAGGCTGAACTGCAGACATTGCGATGCACCAGGGAGGGATCCTTTTGTATAAAGAGGTACTCACACCACTAAACTGGGGGTGTTCTGGTTCTGATAAGCTCAGTGGTCAGGGATAGAATGTGACAGCAGGTGAGGCAGGTAAGGGGGAACAAGAGAGTGTAGGAGCGTTAGCCTGTGTAATTGTTCACCAGGTTTGAGATTCTGTCTCAGCTTGTTTGGATAAGAGCCGAGCTGTGGGATGGATTGGCACTATGGTAAAGGGAGCCATTCAAGCAGGGATATTTGGTATTTCTACCATGCTGTACACCAACTTTGTTAGTGCAGTCTCAATCAATGAGTGGGAATCGGAAAGCTTCCTGACCAGATCTGGAGTCAGGCAGTGTACCCACTCTCTCCTGCCTTTTTTTGTGCCTTGTTTAGAGCCTTTTGCTGAGTCCGTCAGGAAGGTTGCAGGGGGTGACTATTCCAGGCAGCAGAGGCCTGCAGGACAAAGCCTCCCTGTATGTGGATAACGTCACTGTTGTCAGCTTGGATCTGCTGTCAGTGTGCAGACTCACGAGCATCTACAACCAGTTCAAACTGGCCACAGGGGCCAAGGGAAATCTAGGCAAGAGTGAGGCCATGTTCTTTGGAAACTGAGCCGACCGATCCTTCATTCCCTTCACCATCAGGATGGACTACCTGAAGGTGCTGGGAATATGATTTGGAGGGGCCAGGGCATGTGCAAAATTGTGGGTGGAATGTATCACCAAGGTGAGGTCGAAACCAGTCTTTTGGAAGCACTGGGCTGTTGCAGTCACCCGAACCATCTTCCACTTCATCTGAAGGTCTAAGGTAGACAGTGTCCACAGGGACGCTTTGTACTAAACTCTGGATAAGGCAGGGAAGAACATATCCAACATCACCTTCTTCATCCTAATGGCCTTCTTTGTGTTCGACTGCATCAAGCTGTACGTAGACCCTCGGTATGCAAACACCAAACATCACTACGTACTGAGGTTCTAACTGTCCCTGGTGTTGCGAAGGATGGGACTGTCCTCACTGCCGTGGAATGCTCCAAGTAGTTGGACTGTTCTGTATCACCTGTCCTTAGAGGAGAAATTTGCAAAGAAAAACACCTTTGACCACAAGTCCCTCAGGAAGTGGTTGGGGGGAAGGGTAGGGGGTTGACATTGTAACATGTCTCTTTCTGGAATGTGCCTTTGCAAAGGGATCCTGGAGAAAGATGCAGTGGTTTTTGTCAAGGTTCATCCCAAACAGCTTTGTGACATGGGACTCTTTGCTCTACGGGTTTGTTCCCTGGGACACATACAGACACAATCATTGACTGTGCCTGGAGGACCATCAACTCGGTGAAAGGCACTCTTTGGTTTGCCTGAACCTTTATTGGCCTTCCAGAACAAGGAACACCCTGACCGAGTGTTGCCGACTGGCACATTTGTAAGGCCCAGGACTACGTGCTGAGGGACACACTAAAGCTTGGGGCAGTGGGGAAAGACCACCGTCTGAGGTCTTACCTGAAGGTAAGTGGGGGTTTGTTCAGTTGTCAAAGCCTACTGTACCTTAAATGCATGTAAATATAGTCTTGCACAATTCGTTTGCCTGCTGGGTAGATTCAAACTCCAATTTTTTTTGTTTCTTCATGTTTTAATGTACAGAACCGAAGTACTTCAGTGACTTTGTATGTATGCAAAGATATTTTCATGAATAAAGTATATTTTTGAAATTTTTCCAAAAATGGTATTTCCAGCATGTAGTTCTGCAGACAGTCACTTTAGAGTTAGTTTAGGAAAGTTCTGAAACTTCTTGGGCACAGTGAGGTGACAAAAACATTGTGCTTGTGCTCACCATTGATCTTTCTAGATTTCACTTTCACTGATTAATGCAACATAGAGAAAAGGTGTCATGAGATAATGCTGTAGTGGCTATTTTCTAGAACCTTAAGCTATTCAGGTTATATTATCATAGCTGTAATATCAGATTATGCATTTTGGCAGGAGGATTAAGAGGAGCTGAATGTTATTTAACTGGAGAAAGACTGCAGAAAGCTACAGATTTGGGAGTCCTTATCTGAATCTCTAAAAGCTAGCTTTGGATTACTAAGGTAACAGGGCTGTTGGCCTCTATTTCAAAGGGAATTGACGATTAAAATAGGCAAATCTTGCTAAAGCTATACAAGGCATTAGTTAGACCACAGCTGGAATTTAGTGAAGAGTTTTATCCATTATCTGAGAAAATATATGCTGAAATTGTAGGCAAACTAGAGAAGGTTCATTACTCTGAACTTGTGGATGGGGCGATCATCTTATGAGAAGAGTTTGAGTAGGTTGGGCATGCACTCTTTGGAGTTTTGAAGAATGAGAGATGATCTTATTGAAACATACAGGATTCTTTAGGGGATTTGACAGGGTAAATGTGGAAAGGTCCTCCCCCCTAGTGGGAGGGTCTAGGACCAGAAGGCATAATCTCAGCATGAAGGATCAACCAATGAGGACAAAGATGAGGAAGACTTTCTTCTCTGAGGGTAGTGAATCTGTGGAATTCTTTACCACAGAGGGCTGGTATGGCTGGGTCTTTAATGTTGGATAATAAAGTGGATCAATTGGTGAATGTCACTGAGCAGGAGCATTTCACGATTAGTATCGGGCTGTAGTATCATAAGGCTTCTATTAGTTACAGAGAATCGAGTCTAGGACTAATTTAAAATAAAAATACTTATTCATTCCTCCAATTCGCTTCAAGTTGAGGAGGAATCTGGTGCAGTTAAACTGGAGTCAAAGCCTGAAGGAGAGGAATGTATTAGGAAGTAGTCCGCCTCTAAAGAGAAAGTAGATTGGGTATACACTAGGTCCATTTCTACAAGGGAGAAAGAAAAGGCAACCACAGAAGAGTTCCCCGGAAGACTAAGAAGTTAAAGAGCAGGGATTAAGTAGAAAATCAGTCCAGATGACTGATGGAAATCAGAAACAAAAACGAAGACCCAAAAACCGATGATTGATGTAAACTTGATCATTCAAAGGAACACCAGACTGAATTTAGAACATGCTGAGAAATGAAAAAGGAAGTGAGAGACAGCTGCCAGCCTATTCTTGCGCACACATTTGGGGAATTCAAAGCTGGCATTTTAGTAGATTGTGGGCTGTCTGAGTTAAAGCAGGGCTGAGTTTGTAACTGATGTGATCCATTGGTGCTGACAAACAGCATGACTGAAAACCAAACATCTTTATACCAAAAGAGAGAACATTACCTTGCTGTTTAGATCATAGAATCCCTACAGTGTAGTATAGCTTTGGTCATCAGATACTGGATGAGAGTTAAACAGATACGGAGGATGTATTGGCAGTACTTAAAATGGATAAGTTGTCCTGTCTGGATGGGATCATGTCCTCGGTTGCTGACGGAAGCACACTAAGAATAGTCATTGTAGAGTGCTAGTAATAGCATCAGAGATAGTAGGAACTGCAGATGCTGGAGAATCCGAGACA